AGCAACTGAGCCCCCCCTCCTAAATTACAACAAAATCCATATATAAAAAATCAAAGCAATGAAAGGGCTAAAAGGCATTAGGCCTGCAGTAACTTTAGAGAGCCGTTAGATTTTTTTATTCAAAGTTCAAAGCAGTAATTTTATTCTGCAGAGAGAAAAAAATATTCAGATCCATACAATATGTTAAAAACAACTGTATCACAGTAAAAACAAATCTTGTCCTCGACGCCTAGGTTAATGGTTTTTTTACATTATTATAACTAACGGTAACTTGAATCTTGTTGGATAATAACTTTGCCAGGAGATTTAATTTTTTTTCTGTTAATAAACAAAAGTAGATTCGAAAATTACCTTCAACGGTGGAAATTTTAGCAGAAAATATATAATTTTATCAAGTTGCTAGTTGTTTTCCAACATGTTAATTACCATTAAGCAAGTAGAGCTTTCAACTCAACCATGATAGAAATAGCCTGAAATGTTTTCGAAGTAAACAATCCTAATTTCATCCAGCGTCGTAATCTCATCAGTGTAGAATCACCAATCTGAGGAGATTCCTTGAAGAATTATCGTCAGAATGACTCAATTATCAGCAGAAGTTAAGAGCATCAATTTAAGCATGTTTAGGAGTACAATTATAGTTATTTTTTAAAATATTTTTTATATTAAAATAATTTTTTTTAAAAATTACCACATTAAAATAATAAAAAATACATATAAAAAAAATTAAAATTTTAAAAATATAGATAGAATTGCGTTTTCAAACAAAACCTAACAGCTAGATTGATTTAATTCGAAGAATGGGTGTACTATGCTGGAAAAAAATGTTTGTAACCGAAATTTTGATTAATTTTTTATTTGAAGTTATTTTTTAGTATTTGAAAATTATTTTGATGTGTAAATGATTTTTTTTAATATTATTTTAATATATTTTTAAATAAAAAGTATTATAAAAAATTTACTTTTACCGTAGACACACCCTAAATTTAACCGATGAACATCATTGAAAGGTTTTTTCGAAGGAAATGTTTCCTGCTAGGTAATGTGGCTTGAGAACTTCCCCTTGGTGCTCAGAGGGTTTTATTTCTAAAAACAAACAATTTTGTTCTCGTTGATTCTGCGAACAGCAGGCAGATATTATTGTTTGCAATTCGTGACTCGTTGGAATTTCCAGTCTGGCATTTTTATTTTTTTCAACTACAAATATTGATAGCTGTCGCTTGATCTGCGTGAAAATGATATCTGATATGATCTGTGTCCGTAGTTCTCAGTCCATTCGCGGCGAGGAACAGTGACATACTGTCCACTCCAACTCATCTGGGGATTCTGGACCACGCCCCTACACAAATACTTGACCGAACGGTCGTAAACCCCGCACAGATTTTATTCTTGTTTTCTACCTGAAAAATATTTATTGACCGTTTCGAGCAAGTTGTCTCAGAATGTGTGCTGCAGACCACAAGAGCTTGTGCTTATTGAAATCAATTTTTTTTATTTCCAGTGGTTAGCGATCAGTTTGTTCTAAATAGATAGGGTCTCGAAATCTTGAATCTTCCAAGACAAACCCAGATCAAATTACTTGTAAAACCAATTCATAGGTCATTTGACTGTATAGTTTTAATCGATTTCTTTGTTTTTGTTTTTGGTTTTTTTTCCTGTTACAAGCATATGCCAACCGTAGTTTAATTCAAATTATTTCGGAGGTTGGAATGTCAGAAACTTTTTTAAATAAGAAGAGAAATTACTAATAAATATTTGATATTATATATTATATAAATATGTGTCATGTAAATAAATATATAAATTCAAGTAAACCAAAATTAATTTTAAAAATTTTGAAATTATATTATAATTATTTTCTTTGAAATTTTATATTTTAAAATTATTTCATAATAATTTTGTTTTTAATCTAATTAAAAATATCTTTCTAGATTTTCTAAGTACTGTAAAAAATTTTAAAAATAATTTCATACTAATATATGATATATAGTATCTAAAACCATATTTAAAAGGATTATCACAAACTAATATTATTTTTACTGATTTGTTCTTTTGTATAAGTGAAATAAATATAAATATTAAATATTTTTTAATTTATTTATTATGTCTTTAATTTTTTGAATTATCATGTATTTTACTTTTAATTACTAAAAAATTCATCATCATTATTTTTTATATAAAATTCATAATAAAATATTTATCAATTCATTAAAATTCATATTTATTAATATATAATATTACTCATACATATATTAATTTAACAAATTCATAAATTATTATAAATTCTAATATTTTCAATAATTAATTGATATAAAAAAAGGGAACTAACAAGTAGCTAGGAATATATATATATATATATATATATATATTAAAAAAATAAGGGGTAATTGTTCCCTTTTGCACGCACGCGGCTCTGCCACTGATCCTTACTGTCAGGAAAACAAAGCTCATTGAACCTGCAATTACTATATGCTGGGAAGACCCAAGTAGAAAAGGTTTCTAGTAATGGATTCAAAGTTCTCACACAAACACTCATTTTAGTTCTCAAACTTCATGGATTATACTTATCAGGTACCTTGATATTTTTACAATCCAATTATAATAAACAAAATTATTTTTGCTATTTTTTAACCTTTAACTATAGAGAGGAAAAATAAATATGTTCATGAAAAAATCAATATTAACACTAATTTTGGTCATGAAAATAATCAATTTTAATATTAATAAGTCGCATTTAATAAAAAAATTTTCACTTAAATATATTTTTATTTTGAAATTATAAAAAAACCTCAGAGAGATTCCTAGTTTTGTGTGTATACTTAAAGGCTATTTATGAGTTTATTGATATTTTTAATTTTTGTTTCCATGTATTTTGAAGTAAGTTGAACTTTTGAATAAAAAACACAAACTCTGTTTTTTTTAACTACCATGGCATATGAAATTTAGAAAAAACTAAATGATAGAATAGAATATATATCATCCACCTCAATTTATTTTGTCCACGCACGAGCCCTTTCTAGCTCCTAGCCTTTTTCTTTGTTTTTTTATATGCTATCATCTTTTTTTAAAAAAATCAAGTGTTTTAATGTGCTTTTAAAATGATTTTTAATTTACATTTAACTTAATATCTTTTCTCCTGTTTTTTTATTTTTTGTATGAAATATGTTTTAATTATTTTATATATATTTAATTTTTAAAGAAATTATTTTAATTTATCTATAATTTTTTATTTTCTGTATAATTGATTTTTTTTAAACATATTTATTTTTTATAATATTTATAATAAGTACAACACCACGAGATACTTTTTTCCTTTTGATTATAGTCAATTAATTTTATATGTATATCTATTTCTATTATTATTTTATTAAATAAAAAATTAGTTTCAATAAATAGAGTCAATAAACATAATCAAGTAAATAATTTGTGTTATAAAATAAAATATCTTGATTTGTATTTATCTTTTAACCTTTTCATTTACATATTTAATTATTATTAATGATTTTATTTAATTATTAACACATATAATTTTTTATTTATCAAAATAGATAAACACAAACTTTTTAACATCTAACCCGTAGCTTTTAAATAGAGTATAAAACTTAGAGCATGTTTGAAGACATGCAAACTATATTCCTAAAAATTTTAAATTTTTTATATTTTTAAATTGTTATGATATTTTTTTTAAATAAAAAAAATAATATCTTTTTAAATAAAAAATATTTTAAAACATCATCACAATTATAAGTCTCAAACATGCCTTTAGCCCAGCTCACTTGATCACGTATAAATGCAATGGTTTACTCTTTCATGTTCTCGTAGAAGCAGGGATCGAATTCGTTTAAAATTGTTGGGCCATTGACCCAGAAATATAATATTTCGAGTTTCTCTCATCAACCTTTTCAGTTCCTTTTTTTTCCCTTGACATGTCAATTTGCCGACCGTTGCCATGAGTCCAAAACTAAGGTTATTAAGATGGTGTACAAGAATATAATTGTAATTGTTTTTTAAATATTTTTTTTTAAATATTAAAATAATATATGAATTTTTTTAATACCAGTGTATTAAAATAAATTTAAAACATAATTTTTTAATTTAAAGTAAAAAAATTAAACAATTTTATTTTTTTTTAAAATGCTCTTTAAACATAAAAATACAGGGTTGAACTAAGTCAAACAAATTAATAAGAAATAACGCAGCAATTGTCAACTGCAAAATGGCATGTAACATGCAATCATCGTTGAAAACCAACCTATAGCTTATAAAATTAAATCGAAATTACTGAAACGATGTTGATTGCCAGTTTCTTCAATAATACGATCAGGATTTATGCCCGTGTGATATCAAAGTTATTTAGAATGATTAAAGTAAATTTATTGGCAATTTTCAAAAATAATTTTTGTTCAATTATACAGTGATTAAAATAAATATTTATGGAAGTTTGAATTTAAAAAGAAAAAAATCTATAAATATAAAAATCAAAATTATCAATGATTGAATTTCAGCCACTCAAACTTTTTTTCTTTTTAAGTTTCCCGTTTACTCTCTCTCATTTCTCATAATTTGAATTCTTCTTCTCCTCGCACTATGACGGGGAGATATACCAAGGAGTGTGAGATTTTTAAAAGAGTTGCCTGGCCATTGAATAAAGACCAAGAGGGCCTCTTAAAATAACTAGGTCCGATGCCTGTGTTTTGTGCAGACAAGATCAATTTTTTTATAACATAAAAGAAAATATTTAAAGAATGCAAGTCTTTTTTATGAAAAAAAAGAAAAATTTTAAAAAAATTTATTCACTCAATAAAATTCTAATAAATTCAATTAATTTAATAATACAATTTAAAAAATCAATAATAAGTAAAAAGGACAAGAAAGACACCACTTAATAAAAGGGGTGTGAAATTACTTTCACCTCCTTAACTCCCATTCCAAGCACCCCAGTGAAAACAAAACCGTAAATAAAAATAAATAAATAAATAAAAACCCAGGTACAGTGGCCTTCGTCCAGAAACTTCGTTAGCAAACCACACGAATGAAGCCTCATCAGTACAGGACAGAAATAATAATAACGGGGCGCGCCGATACATACATGATTGATGATACATATACTGATACGTATCAGAGGACCGACCCACATGGCTGGTGCAGAGGTTTATCCTCAAGAGAAGCAAATCTAAAGTTTGAATCAAGAAAGGGCCTCCCACACCGTTGTCCTGTGTCTCAAGCTCCAACAGTAACATGATGATGTGGGACGAGTGGGACGATTCTCAAACCCAACCACAACAACAACAACAGCCAGACCAGGATTCTTGCTTTAATTTCGATCTCCTTTCGCTTCTCTCTAGACCCAAGGTTGTTGCATTTCCCTTTGATTTTTATTTTTTTTTGTCATATTAGGGTTTGTAACTGGCAATGTATGCAGGATTATTATAAAATACTTGAAGTTGATTATGATGCTACGGATGATGCTATTCGATCGAACTATATACGCCTAGCACTGGTTCTTATCCTAGACTTCTCTATTTTCTTTTTTGTTTTCTTGGGTTACCGCTTTGTGATTTGGATGAAATTCTTTTTCGGTTTGTAATTGGAAGGTTTGGAACTTGTGCAGAAATGGCATCCCGATAAGCAAAAAGACGAGGATAGTGCCACTTCGAGATTTCAAGAGATAAACGAGGCTTACCAGGGTCTGGATTTTACTCCTTCCCTTTTATATTCTTAAATTTCTTTTTTTCCCCTCAATTAGTTAAGTGAGAATTTATGTTGCCTGGAAGTGCCCATAACACTGTTTCTAAGTAATCTCTCTGAGCGTTCCAAGATTGTGTTTGTGCGTGCCAATTACCTCCTATTTCCTTGTATTCTACATTTATAAGTTTATAGATTACTGGCTAGCTGTGTGCCTGGCCTTTATTCTTGGCTATTCTTCTCCTAAGATGGTGATTCCAAATGGGTTGAATCCCATGTTGTTTTGCTCTTTCAGCATGAACTCTATAAGTGCAGCACTATCTGTTAAAGTTTTATGTGCTTGGGTGTCTTGGTGAATGTTATAGATCACCGTTTTAGCCAAATTAGCATACTCTTGCGAGTTTAAAAGGCGCCTTCTTATCATAAAGCACTCTGCTGCACCGCCCAGTCGGCAAGTGGGTTCTCTAGGACATAAGGCTTTTGGAAGTGAATCTCGTAGTTATGATGTCTTTGAAACTTCTGGTTTCATGTTTCTGCTTCTGTTTGTGCACAATTGATTTTGGTGTCTTTCCATGAACTGATTCTAATAAATTCTTGCTAGCTAATATTGATTCCCATCAATCATCTTTCATGCTGGGATTACATAAACTAACAAGTGCAAGAAGTTTGTGTAGCTAATACTTTATGCAGTGATTGGACGCTCTATGAACATGCTACTCTATTGTATTCAACAATGTGGTACAAATCATTCTGTCATTCATGATTCCATTGCATGAGCTGAGTTAGTCAAAAGGAGACCCAGCATATTATCACATTATATGTGAGGTCTTAACCAAACAACCATGAACGATGAATTTGAAATCTTAATAAGAATGAGGTAAAGAAAAACATTTTAAGCTGACTTCCTTTTTTAAGCCTTTTTAAGAGGACCATTTATAAGCAATCAATCTGTTTCTCCTTTTTAGTGTAGGCAGGAGCAGTTGCTTCCGCTTTTGATTGGCAGTTTATCAATGAGAATTAGGACAAATTTATACAATAACGAGCTCAATACCAGCAGAGTTTCTGCTCATGTTGTGTAGGTCCCACATAATTAGATTATGCGTGGTTAGGTCGGTATTTCTCTTGAAATAGGGAGGTCGTTTCCGATAGGATTTCTGGGGAGATTCATGGCTTTTAGTGGCCATGAGAATTTTGCTGCAAATATTTTAAACAGTGAACGACACCCAAATGTAGCAATAGTTAAACTGAGTTTCTGTAGATGGTTGAAATCTTTTTGGGGTACAGAGAAGCCTGTCATACCTAACTAATTGTTCTTTATCATCCATTATTTAACATATGATGAGAATCAATGCCTATTCAAATCCTCAAAGAAACACTTCTGCAATATACCTTTGTGTCGGTCCTTGTCTCTCTCTGTGTGTGTGTGTGTGTTTTAATTATGTTAGAAGATGGATTCCTAGACCTGAAGTCCCAAGAGCATGATGATGTTAAGGTCTTTGCCCCAGTTGAGGGCACTGAATGTATAGCTTACTCACAAAATCCTTAGCGAAGAACAACACATACAATTTGTGGCCACTTATCGTGCATAATTGACAATGGAATCTTGTAATTTTCTTTGACAGTTTTAAGTGATCCTGTCAGAAGGAGAGAATATGACAAGAAGGGGATGATGCACATCTATGATTACGACATAAGCGTAAGTCTTATTTGCTGTTGAACTTTGTTTTTCTTATGCTTGTGCATGCTCCGGCCTGATAATGCCCCTCAAATATTCTTGTGTTGGTTGCAGGAGTACCTCAACCGGTACAAGGGCCTTATATTAACATGTAATGGTCTTGGGATCAGGCATTCAATTTTATAAGCAGAAAGAGAGTGCGTGTACATTTGCCACTAATCTTCGTACCTGGTGATTCAAACGATTAGAACAGCTAGGAATTGGGAGCAGCACGGTTTGGATGTATTATGGAATCTAATTCGTGCGTCAGTGTATATATGGGTAGAGCAGTATCCCTGCATAAGTGTTACGTTATGGCTGTTTATTTTTCTGATATCGTTGCTTAATTGATGAAATGTTTTAATTTGCCATGATGAAATACGTTTTTCTGTGTCTTGAAGACATCTAATGGGCCCTGAGCTGTGCAGGAGGTTGAAACTCTACCCTTTAACAAATCTCTACCGTTCTTGGCCTTTACTGAATTGGATCCTGATCGCTTGTAATGCCATTACATTTCATGAGATGATGAGTTGACGGGATTGGATTGAGTATTTGGGTAATTCGGGTGGGAAAAGTTGTCAATCGGATTTTTTTTTTAATTTCCTGAAGAGTTTCTGATTCTCTACATTTTATTTTTTCCAATTTACATTTTGGACCAAATTTTCTGAATATTTTGAATTCTTTTCGGCGACCCGTGCATTTCATTTCTTTTCCTGTTTTTTTATGTATGTTATTTTGGATAATTGAGCCCTTCAAAATTAAAACAAAAAAAAACAAAATAGTGTTTTTGAAAAAATAAATCACTGTAGAGAAGTTGTAGGTTTTGTACATTTTTTTAAAATCCTTCGTCTATATTTACGTGATATTTTTGTTATTTTCTCATTTGCTTATTTTCTCTCTTAAAGGTTGATTTTTCAATTTCATTTTTTATGTTACATGTTCGAGTTTTTATTTCGTAACTTTCTTTTGTTTTGCATTTCTTATCGTGTTTATAGTTTGTCTATTTTTATGCAATATTTTTATTATTTTCTCATTTGCTTATCTTCTCCCTTAAAGTGTGATTTTTCAGTTTCATTTCTTTATGTTAAATTTTCAATACTTTCATTTGGTCTGCATTTTGTATAGTGTTTGTAGCTTTGGACATTGTTATGTTGTTTATTAGGCATTGATTGTACAAAATTAAACTATAATTGTTAAAAATAACACTTAAAAAAGAGATGATCTAAGTTTACATTCTCAAAAATGAAAGCTTTCTTTGATATTTTAATAGATTGTGTGTGAAAATCAAGGTGGAGAGAAGGAAGAAAATGAAAAAAAAAAAAGAGAAAAAAAGGTTGCTAGAGCCACTCTTTTTACCACGAAGTATCATTGAGGAAAGATCTCGTCGAGATGATCTTTGCAAAAAAAAAAAAGGGGTTTCAGAGAGCCACTCTTTCCACCACGAAGTATCATTGAGGAAAGATCTCGTCGAGATGATCTTTGCAACATCAATGATGATTGTCTTTGAAGCTTTGCTCGTCGTCATAATAAGATAATATTCCTCACATGTTGGCGTGTGTGTTGCACTCGCTAGACACATGCTATATATATATATTTTTTTATTCAATTTAATTCCTAATGATCTGAAGCCTATCTAGTGGCTTTATTCTAAACTCTGATTCTCTAATAACTCTTAGACATTTTTTTTTTCTCTTGGTTCAAATTAATCCATAATTTTTTGGCAATTCTTTAATTTGATCTAGAATCTTATCCTAACTTGTACAAATAAAAACCCAGTTTGAGAGAAATGACTATACAAGAAAAGAAAGAAATAAAATGGCTAAGTTGGCTTTAAGTACAACCCAGCCGAACACGACAAGAGATTGGAAATATACTTGCACCTTGAAAACATATTGTTGTGTTTATGTTTAATTATTTAGCTAATATATTTCAAATATATTATTATTTGTTGTCATTGTAGAAAAAAGTTGGTGCCCCGGAACTTTGGAACTCGAGTCGGACATGAAATTGGTTGAAAGGCTTAAGTTTGGCCCATTTAGTTAGATTTAGTGACGATACCAAAAAGTTTTATGTGATTTTATTTGTTTATTTTTTGCATTTTAAAAAACTTAGTTTGACTTACTTTGTAGCCAAGGAAATAATTTAATTTTTTACCAAATTAGTTTGGCATACCATGGTAATTTAATCTTTTTAGTAGTGCTCACTTCAGGGTGTTTGATATTAAGATTAAACTTGTTTTTTCAATAATTTTTTTTTATTATTTTAGATCGTTTTGATGTATTAGTGAAAAAATAAAATTTTAAAAATAAAAAATATTATTTTAATCAATTAATGCGATTTTGCAAGCTGTTTTTTTTATTAGCATGTTTTTTTTTTAAATATCGACTAAATAACATAATTTTAAGAAAATAATGAGTTAACATAATTTATATATGTTGCAATTGAAAAATGCGACATTAAAGTTTATCACGACTTAGAATCGACATTTAAAAAAAAAATTATGAAATGAAATACACGTGTAAAGAAAGAAGGAAGAGAGAAGAAATAAAAAAAGAGATATTGAAAACACACTGAAACTTTGATTACAACACCATCTGTATTATTTAAAATATCTCGACAAAAAAAATTTAATAACATTAACAAAGGTCACTAACGGTGACTCTAGTGTATAACATTTATTACTAAAAGTGAGTCATTTGTCATTTTTAGATGATAAATATGACACACTTAGTCATTATTAATAGTTTTTTCAGGTGTGATTTAATTTATCTGGTCGATATGTTTTTTATGGCACTGATGATATTCCAATCAAAATTTTGATACACTATGATGATTATTTTATTATTATTATTTTTTTTAATTTATAACCCCTTTTACATTTTTTGTTTAAATATTTCTACTCTAAATAGTGGCAAGTTTGACTATTTTATTTTTTAATAAGTATATATTGTGTTATTTTAAAATTTTTTCCTAAATTGTGTTATTTAATTAATACTTTTTAAGAAATTGCATTTTTAAAAAAAAATCTGAATTTCAACCCGCTCCCTGAACTTGAAGTCAGTCCAAACGATCGTACGGGCCTGACTGACGATTGGCGTTGATGTTTTTGCTTATCAGGATGATGTCACGAGTTTTAACTTCCGCGTGTCGAATCGTGGATTGCAGATTCAATCCTCAGAAGCGTCCTCACATGACTGACATCAATCAATGCCACTTGGGTTTTCAAATTAACCGCTTCAACAAACAAGCGATATCTTCGTAAATCCAAGTTATTATTAAGATAATATCTCTTTAATCTGTGAAATCTCATCAGGTGACTTATTCACCCATCAAATGAGTGAGATTTCACTGAAAATTGATTTTTGGAAAAAAGAATATTTCTTAAACTTGGCAGGCAGCGAGCATAATATTTTTTCAGCCAATAGACGCGTTCCGAAATGTACGGTGATCGGAAAATCCAGTGCCGCGCCGGGAAGAAGAAAACCCTGGAGGAGGGACTCTTGACACCTGCAATGGGAGAAATAGGCTTTGAACTGGTACCGAAAACTAGTTTTTGACAGCCGTGTTGCAGCACAGGTCTTCATTCCTAACAAAAGCACAAGTCAAAATTCAAAATAAATTCCTAAAACTATAATTTGACCTAGAAAAACACAACTATTATCCTCCTAAACTAGGTAAAATTAACAGAACATGAAGAGCATGGCTAGGGGGATCGTAGCAAGGACTTCATCTACTGTATATTGACACAACGAAATGACATGTTTGTCGTTCTTTTTTTTAAAAGAGAATTAATTGGCTTTGATGGGTAAAAATATTTTTACTAAGGGTACATTTGTCATTTTAAAATCATTGAAGTCCTCTTAGTTTTTTATGATTTTTTGAACAAATCAATTGTTTAAACATTTTTAAAAGCAAATACAATAAAAAAAATTTAACTATCATCTATGGACATTATTTTTATTTCCCATTTAATAAAGCACAATGTAATTATTTCATTGCATTTAAGCTTGAAATTATCAAAGTTACAAGAGCTTATTCATCATTTCTTTACTTTTATTTCGTGATAAGTATTTGATTTTAGAGTGAATGTAGTCATTGCATGAGTAAATTATATATAAAAAAATTATTGGCACATTTATTTTTAAATATCATGTGTTGCTATTTTCATGGTTGGAACTACTATTTTATCATGTTATTATATTTTCCATAACATTTTTTTTTTAAAAAAATAGCACATGCATGGTGATTTTATTAGGTTTGATATTAATGTAACCCCTTTTTTTCTTTCATTTCTCTTTTATCCATCTTGGTTTGTGCTCTACATCTAAAAACATGACAACAACTCTTCAATTTTTTTTATGTCTAGTACTTGTTATTTTAGTTATAAATTTTTTATTTGAAAATATAATTTTAAATTATTTTTTTAATTTCATCATTTTTTATTTTTTCAACTCTCCAACTTAGTCCTTGTTTTTTTATTGTGATTTTTTTGTTTGGAATAATTTATAAAATTTAATTTTTAATGATTTAATTCCTATTGTTTTTTTACTTAGGTTTTATCCTCGTTCATTTTATTATTATTTTTTTCAATAATAAGTTTTTTTAATTAATTTTTTTTATCATATCACTCAATATTAATTAAATTAAGAATTAAGATTTTTACTTGAGTTAAAGTCTAAAATTCTTGAATTGTAATTTTAAAAGATTAACAAACTTACTTAGTTTTTTATGTTATTAGAGTATGATTATGTATATATGTATTAAGTTTTTAAACCAATTAAATTTATTAAACTCATTCGATTCAATGATACAGGTTTTGGTTTCCTTTACTTCTTTAAAAATCGTATAATTCCTTTAACTATTTTCTTCTCATATCTAATTTTTTTTTATTTAACATATGACATTGTGACAACACTAATATAAATTTGCTGGAGATGCCTTTTTTAAAATGATATTTTTTCTGCTTTTAACATTTAATACTTAATTAATTATGTATAAACCTTTTAATTTATTTTAATATAAATTTAATGTTATTATCATAATTTTATACCCCACATCACAGCTACATCACAGATTTCAAAAAATAACCATAGTTAAGATGCTAGTTAATTCAATTTATGTTCGTTCCAATAATTTTTGTAAAAAAACAGGTGTTGTCATTTAGATAATTTTAAATGTTTTTCTGTCTATATAAATTTAAATTTTATCTTTCTTATGTCTTTATATTATTTTTTAGGTTTTTAAAAAATGATTCCAAGTGCGACGTGGCGCGGAAAAAAAAATGGTAACTGCGTTTTTGGCCATGAAAATTACCCTCTTACCCTCTGGAAAAGGAAACAACCGTCTCTCGCACAATTCCCCGTATCCAAAAAAAAAACCACCAACCAACGAAACAAAGAAAAACCACTCTGCCCTCCTACTCAGCTATTCCTCCTAAAACACAAATCCCTCTCTCCTCTTTCAAAACAAAATGGCGACCACCACCACTGTCCCGGACAACCTCACCAGAGACCAATATGTGTACCTTGCCAAGCTCGCCGAGCAAGCCGAACGCTACGAGGAGATGGTCCAGTTCATGCAAAAGCTGGTCCTCGGCAACACACCTGTCGGTGAACTCAACGTTGAGGAACGCAACCTCCTCTCTGTCGCTTACAAAAACGTGATCGGCTCACTTCGTGCTGCCTGGAGGATTGTGTCTTCAATTGAGCAGAAAGAGGAAGGGAGAAAGAACGAGGAACATGTTGTGCTTGTTAAGGAATATAGATCTAAAGTCGAGAGTGAGTTATCTGATATTTGTGCTAGTATTCTGAGGCTGTTGGACTCGAATCTGATACCGTCCGCTACTGCGAGTGAATCCAAGGTTTTTTATTTGAAGATGAAAGGGGATTATCATAGGTATCTGGCTGAGTTCAAGGCTGGTGATGAGAGAAACGCTGCTGCTGGAGATACTATGCAGTCTTATAAGGCTGCTCAGGTATTATTAATAATCATATTTTTCGTTTTGTTTTTGAAGTTTATCTTGTTCTGTTTGTTTTTTTTTTTTTTTATAGATTTTGCTTAATGTAACATTTTGTTTCTAGGGTTTGGATAAATATTTGGGGGGTGTGGGGGTGGCTTTACTGTAAGAATCTATGATTTCAAGCAGTATCGGTGATTTTCCGATTTTCCTTTTTTTTTGGGGGGCTGGGGTGCTTAGAATTGAGTGAAGAGTTGTGAATTAAAAGTTTGGTTCCAGGGAAAGTCGTGTCTCATTTTTTTTTCCTGCTTTTCGATTGACTAATGTTGATGTACTGTAATTTTGAAGGATACTGCGTCTGCGGATCTTGCACCAACACATCCAATAAGGTTGGGTTTGGCACTGAATTTCTCTGTGTTCTACTATGAGATTCTCAATCAGTCTGACAAAGCCTGCAGTATGGCAAAACAGGTATGCTCTTTTTACTTCTAAATAGTTTCATCTAATAATTTAAGTTATTAGATTATATGGTTATAAGACATGATATAAAGTCTTGATAGTTAATCTGTCCTGAGTTTGAATCTCAATGCCGTTATTCTCTTTTCTAATTAAAATCTAATTAATAATATAAGATAGTGCAGTGCCATGAAATAAATTATCAACGTTTTCTTGTGTGAGTGGATATGATATGGAATTTCTGAATGGGAAAACGCTCATACTAGAGTCTTTATTGATGCGTGGATGAACATAATCACTTGGGACTCTCGCGAGCTTTTCAAGTAGTTTCAACTGCTCAATCTTTATGATGTGGTGTTGTGCTAATGTACTTGCACTTGCTCATTTGCACACACGAAACTTGACAGAAGTTCCAGGTTCTTCCTTCAGTGTTCCTGGCATTCTTCACCACCAATGTTTGTTTCAATGTGTCTGGTTCTAGTCGTACATTGTTTCTCAGCCATTGTGTTTTGACATGACCAAGGTCCGCATTGCCCTTTGGTACACGCCAACAGGAGATTGCTACAAAGTTATGTAGGCCTTTTGTCCATGAATAAATGTTAGAACTTTTTTTACTTGTCTTGCCATCTTTTTGTGCAGGCGTTTGAGGAAGCTATTGCCGAGCTAGACACTTTGGGAGAAGAATCGTACAAGGATAGCACTCTGATCATGCAACTCCTAAGGGATAACCTCACTCTTTGGACTTCGGATGTCCAGGTTGGTGCTTCTCGCCCTCTCTCTGTGAGCTTCTTTCTAGTCAATGACTTCTGCTGGAAGTTATGGTTTCTCTTTATTACTAGAGAACCTGATTGATTGAGATCTAACCCTTGTGTATTGTTTTCTTCAGGACCAATTAGATGAGCCATAGAAGGCATCATAAAGCTTGACTGGTTCTAGTCTTCTTCTGGAGGAGGTGGGCTTTGAATGTCATCCATTTGTGTCGTGATTACCAAGTGTGTTAATTTAAGAAAACTGGGCATTACCCTTGTGACATGATGTTTTTTTTTTTAATTATTATTTTGACTAAACTTGCTTTTGAATTTCAAGTGCTTCGGAAAGGGTGGGCATTTGATGTGGGTATATTTTAATGTCATGGTTCTTGTTTATACCATAATTTCTCCCTTCCAGACTGACTATACACGGAAGATTTATATGTTCAGGTGACGGAAAATACGTAGACTTAACTTCCCAATGCTTACTCTTTGGAGAATTCTACTCCCTATTTTCATAATCTTCAAACAACCCAACGCAAACAGGGCTCCTGTTTCTGTACAGCTTTTCTGTCAAGCACCAGCCTCGCTGGTTAGTCATGGTTTCTAGTTAAGAACACCATCAAAATAGCCGGAAAAGATAAGTGTAGTTCGAGTTCGTTACTCGTGCTATCGCAAAAAATTATGCTATTCCCAAACTCAAACCTATGGAAGCTTGTCGTTGAAAGATCGAAGCCCCAAATAATAAAATGAATTAACACTTGCAGCGAAGCCATATTCATTGATTTACAGAGCCTGACTTCCATCTCCATATGCACTCGACGCATGGGCTCCTGGCATCAGTGCCCAAACAAGGTTGGCTTCGGGTCAAACAAGAAGTTCGTTGAGAGCCGATGTCCTAACAGCATTTTAAATTATTGGCGATTTTCTACACAATCACGTCAATGCCAAATCGTAAGTGACCAAAAGTACATGCAAATAATTTCTCACGAGGCGGCCAAGCCAATGACCACCACCACACATGCTCAAGGCCGGCAGAAGACACCCAGAGGATAATACAACCTCAATAAACCAGCAGAAGACTTAGTTTAACAAAGCAAGCAAACACTCATGAAATACATACTGCGTGCTAATCATACTTGCAAAGTCGCCGACACAACATCAAGAGAGCCCTTGGTATATAATAACAGGTCCCAATTACTACAGCTAAAAACAATATGCAACCAACTACTGACAGGAGAAGAGAACGTCAACATGTGCAAACCCAACTGGTGATGCAAGCCAATCCCGAGCACTGAGATTTTATATGCTCAGATTTTACAGATGACACGAGTCAGTCCCTTGTGCTGTCTTTGAGCCATTTTAGGTATGGAATGCTTCCACCAGTGATGGGCAAGGAGATTACTTCTGGAACCCTGAGTAAAAGAACAGAAATAAAAAGCAGAATAAATCTAACTGAAAAAAGTTATTCTTTTGCTAAATTCATTTCCGCCATCCCAACATCATGTTCGTCCTGAGCCTTGAGCAAATGGAAGCATATAGAATCCTAGGAGACATGGCAGCAACATTCCTAGTGGATAAAAAGTTTAATCTTCTTGTGCAACCATAAAACTGCATGTGTTTCTTAACATCTTTAGCTTGCAACAGAAATTTTCCAAGAAACTTTGTTACTTTATTGTGTACATGCTACATATGCTTTATGCTTACTCATATTCATGGTTTGCTTTGACATGCTCTGTCAGTGCTTCCAGCAAGGATTGCCTGGTCTTGATAATCAACAGTTCCTCAGCATCTGACTGAATCTACAATCAAAATCGAAAAAAGCAACTTTAAACTTGCATAAGGGCTTTGATGCCCAAAAGATCATACAAGAGATTTAAGCATATAATCTCTTCTTCAAGTTTAAGCATATCTTAATTAACAAGGGGAAAAAGATTTATACCTCTCCCTGCCATTGATACACCGATTCAATACCTATATTCACAAAAAACATTGGTTATTTCAGAAAGTAATTTCACAAAGAAGCTATAAAACATCAAATCTGCAAAGTTCAAGGCGATGTGATGATGAGAAAGAGAAAGCCTGACTTAATGAATAACTAAAGCATTCCTGAAAACTACACAATTAATGAAATTTTCCAAAAGGGCATACAATCTATGGTGAAGTGAGTCGCCACCTAAAATTAAAGCAAAAGAACAAAAGATAGACTACTGTCAAAGGATATGTGTATAGGAAAACCACTATGCATAGATCAATTGTTTTTCCTAGGGAAAAGAATTTTTTTTGGAAAACATACGATTGTTCTGAAGTTCACAGAAAACCTATGGTTATATTTACTTTCACATAATTGTTTCGCAGTTTAAATCTCTAGTTTTCTTATTTATTCTAAAAGATTTTTCCGTGAAAAAATACAAAAATATGTTCAATGGCTACAAATTACCGAAATGAAAAGGAAGGCCTGTGTTTGGCTTCACTTAAAACATATAAAGGAATGGATATAAAAGATTAATTGAACCAAACAAGGACCTTGTTTTTTATGATGGAAAACTTGGAAAACAACTTTTTTGGTGCTTCCAGTTTTCTAGAAAACTAGAAAAATATAAAACAAGTATTTCCAAGAAAATAATTTTAATTTTCAAACAGCAAACACATTTTCTATTTCCTAGAAAAAATCCCAAGGAAACTGAAAAATTCTCCGCAGCCAAACACAACCTAACTTGCTCCATAATATATCATCCAACGAAAAAAGTGATAGAAAAAAATCGTTGTGCAACATGAAGGTACATTGGATATTGGACATGTTATAGATGATATGATAAATCTCCCAGTGCTCTCTTCTTTATTTACAAAGCAGCTACAGGGTTACCCTTCTTTTATTTAGGGGGAGAGGGAGTGGAGAGGTGTTGTGGTACAGGGATGAGTCTCAGCAACAGAAAAGCATCAGGGGAGAGTACATGTGTAGCAGGGTATTGGGCAGGACGTAAAAGAGGGGAAATCAATTCATGGCTCAGCTTGTTACAATGTTGCATTCCTAGTCGTAACCTGATATTATAGTTTATTGTGGTTACACCCAGTTTCTCAAAACAAACTCAGATTGTCCAACATGGAAACATAGATTTCCACTTAACCAACATACTCTGAAGCGGATACAGAACCTTTATTAAAAACTGAAAAAGCTATCGTATTTTGCCTGGCTAAAAGGAAAGCAAAGATACATAGCATACAAGAAGAAAGAGGCACATGCCTGGTACTATGTTTACACACGCTGCCAGCTTCTCTTTGACTATGCTGCTAGCCAATTTCTTTCCTGAAGGCATATTGAGAATCATAAATTACAAAATCAAGCATTCAAAACATTGTGTTCTTTAAAACGAGATAGAGATCAAGAATTACAAGAGGTAAGAGATAGAATCAACTTCTGCTATGTTGTGTGCAGATTGGAAAACAACATGAAAAGCTGTAAGAACCAAGAAGTGCAAAATTAAGAAAACCTCAACTAAAATAAATAAATAAATAAATAATAAAATGCCACTTAAACTAAGTGGGGTTGATATGTTTGATCATATTGATTCATTAATAAGGAAATGAAGAGAAAATATATATATATATATATATATATAAGCAGAGCTTCTCTAATTCTGCGGGCAACAATTGCTTAATTATTTTTCAAGTAATGAGGAGGATAATGCTTGATTAAAATCAGAATTGAGCATGTAATCAATCCTTTAAGAGGGGGGGAAAACAAATAATAGACAGAATCACAAATAAAGAAGAGAAACGAAACAAAGAAAAAAGACACAAACCTGCTTCTCTATTAGGGACAGTAACATAAACAACAATACTTGGTACGGTGTCGGAATTCCCTTCCATTCTGATGTTCGTAGCTTGTGTTGCTGCTGCTTGGCTGCTGCCAAACTTTGATCTAATCCGAACGTTTGAATTGAATTAATTAAATTACAAGGTAATTATATAATCAAGGCCCAAAAGAAGAAGAGATTTTAAGGCTTTTTATTTACCTTAAGAGAGGAATAAAGGGGAGAGATGGAGCGCTACCCGTTTTGAGAGAAGAAGAAGAGAGACTTGTTGGGCATAGATTAGAGAGGCCTAAGCTTATCATGCAAAACGCCCCGACAAGAGGCAAACGCCGTCGTATTGTTGTTGAAGGAAGGATTGACGCAGCTCTTGAAAAGACAGAGGAAGCCATGGCTACTTATACTCCTGTCAAAGAGTACAATATTATTCATTTCTTGATCTCGAGTTTAGTTTGATACTCTCACCGTTTGAGGAGGAAAGTTTTCATTCCAGCACTATCTGATTCTGCCACGTTAGGCATTTAGGAACAGTATGATATAGTCTAGCGGTCGATGGGGTCTTGTTTTAGTTATGAAGGAACGACAATGCCTAACAAACACAATCTTGCTTGAGTGATATGTCGTTCAGAGAAGGAGAAGTAGACATGCCTCCCAGGAAAGACTTGCCTATCGTGGGAATAGTGAAGAATTGAGAGTTGAGAATTCTGTGGGAATTTGAAGAGAAGGGGTTGCTTCCATTTGTCACCATGGATGCTTCAATCTTGGTCAAGCTGCAGATATGTTTGGTATACTACATACAGATATCAAAGAATAGGTGGTGATAATTTCATCAAATTTACAGAGGTACAAAATCTTCACATTCATTTGCTGTTAACTCATCAAGCAGTTCAAATGCAAGTAACAGCTTTCTCTCTCTGCATACAAATTCAACTAAAAGAGCCCAGGAATCTTGCTCTGGTTTGAATCCCATCTCCGCCAATCCATACAACGCCACAACTGCATCATCTGCCATTCCAGCTTTACAAAGGCCAACTAACAACTCGTTTGAAGTTGCATGATGGGGTACAAAGCCTCTGCTAAGTGTCAAACCCAAAAGCTCAAGAGCCTTGACCAAGTCACCTTTCTGGCACAATGAATTCAATACAATCCTGTAACTCGCTTTGTTTAGATAAATACCTTCGCTAGAGAGTCTGTTAAGCATCCCAAGCGCCTCCTCGGTCCTACCTTCTCCACAAAATCCTCTAAGTAACACGTTAACAGTTACAATGTCAGCTTTGCACCTTGTTTCTTTCATCTCTTCGAGCAACGCCATGGCTTCATCAATTCTACCAAATCTACAAAAGTAATTTATCAATGTCGTGTATCCAACTGTATCTTGTTTCAAACCAAAGCTCTTCATCTCTTCAAACGCATCCATGGCCTCCTCTAACCTTCCCTCTTTGCAAAATCCACTCATGAGGGCTGAATAATTAAATACATTTGGGCTACATCCATTACTCTTCATAAACTCCATTATCTTCTTTGCCTGGTCAACTTTTCCCCAACGGGAAAAACCATTGATTAGAACATTATAAGTAAGGGCATCAGGCAAGATTTGATCCTTCGACACCATCTCCTCGAACAATTCAATTGCTTCTTTTAACCTCCCGCTCTCACAGAGACCATCCATCAGAGTTGAGTAGGTAATTAAATTGGGACAGGAAATGCTAGACTTCTTCATCTCCTTCACCACTGCAAAAGCAGATTCAAGATCACCACTTTTACAGTGATACTTAATAAAGATGTTGAAAATGCAGGTATTTGGCTTCAGCATGTGACCCTTCTTCAAATCCAATAAAAAACCCCGCAACAAATCCACCTGCTTTGATTCAACCAGAAGATTCAGACATGTGCTGATGGCTTTGAGCGATGGCTTTTCACGAACAATTGGCTGGATTTTATTAAACATCTCGACCACTCTTTCAAACTCAGATGACTTGGCAAAATACTTCATCAGATTAAGGAATAAACTCTCATGAAACTTGCAAGTTTCATACATCATTTGCCGAAGAAGAGCATCAACAGCCTGAAACTTCTTAGCTCGAGCAAGCTTATCAATTATAGTTGAATAGGTAGCATGATTATGATTAAAACCCTTCTGCTCCACTACCAAGTTAAATATTTCCACGGCATGTTGAGGATCCCGCTCATGTTTGATCAAGTTTATGGCAGTCTCGTGAGAAATAAATTTGGGTTTCCTTCGTGGTTCCAGAAGGGTTTTGGGTGGAGGGTCCAATTTAGGTGTTAAAAAATGAAGAGGAGAGATCCATGGAAGCGAGGAGAAAGAGCGGTGCTTGTGGCAGATAACAACTTTCACAGAATTCATCAAAACTATTGCTTCCCCTTTTTATAGCACTTCATAATCTGAAAAAATACGACCCCTGTTAGCTTAATATATGTCAGAAAAGCAAAACCATTTTGAAGCCAATTTTAATCATTTATTCCATACGAAATCATCATTCAGTACAAATTATTATAGCAATCTAAGAGTTTAAACATAAATTACAACAATGATTACGTCGAAGACAAGACAAAAAACACAGTTAAGGTTACCATTATCCTCATGATTAATTCAGCTATGTCTAAGGAGCTAGCAAATTGTCATCAACAGGAATCCGCATAAAGGAATAAAAAAATTTAAGTGCGTGAAGTTAAATAGCTAAATCTTCATGAAAACAATGAGATAAGAGAAACACTAGCCTGTTTGTGTCATAGGGAGGCCGAGATGGGAGAGTGCCTGCGCGAACTCCGTTTGAAGAGGCGAGGGCAGGGCGGAGGTGGAAGAAGGAGACAGGGGGTCGAGTCCAGTAGAAGGCAACAGGTTTTTCTCTAGATGGATAGGCTTGGCCCATTAAGTTTCTTCCATTTGGAGAAATGGACAGAAAGTGGATCTAGGATTCATTGCAGACCAGGCTCTGTTTTGGGCTTCCAGGACTGTTATGGGCTTTCAATAGGTAGTGTATTTTGAGAAAGAAGTTCAAAATTATCAGCTAAGGTTGCTGTAGTTAAGCAAAACCAATTTATTAGTCCTTGTGATTTCATAAACTATATATTTAATCATTTTTAAATTTATTTATAGTTTAATATTTTTCATCCATTTCATTTTAAAAAAAATAGAAAAATAAAAAGAAGTTGGTGAAGTGGGAAGATGCGAATTGAGTTTAATTGTTTAGAAAAATAGTTCTAATTTGAATACAATGGGCACTAGCCAAGTAACTAATTACTTAGTTTCAATATTAAGAGAATAGGTTGATTTAATATGAAAAATCATAAGGACTAAATTATAATTAAATGGTATGTAGATTTATTATTTTTTAATATATTTTTTGTCCCTCAAATAAAAAAATACAATTTCATTATTTATTATTAATTATTTGCTTTTGCTTTCTTAATCACGTGCCCTTATCTTGGTTTTTCTTTTTCTTAAAAAAATATTTTAAAATTTAATTTTTCACGCACTTTGTTGACATATAATTAAATGAAGAATAATTTTAATCTTCGAGATAAAAAAGTTTTATTGAATCTAATGTTACGTGTTGCAAGTTTAGTTTTTTTACTTGAGTTTGTTTGGTTTTTTTAATTGAGTTCATTTGATTTTTTTTAGTTAGGAGTTGTTTTTATCAATTTCATCCTTCAACACTGAATTAATTGAGTGTTGAGCTTTTCAAATTATTTTTTACAAGGTTATCCCCCGCAACTTTCACATATCAACCTAAATTAACCCAAACAAATTTAAAATATTTTTGTTTCAATATTGGATAAAAATATAGTCCAACACGCAACTAATTTTGAATTCATGATTAAAATCCTTTTACACACACAGACATTAGCAATACCTAAACAATCAATTCTAAGATACAAAGTTATTAGATATAATTGGGTATATGATTAATATTGTGTAATCAAATTTTTTAATTTACATTTATCTTTTAATTTTTTGAGTTTAGTCTTTAATTATTGTTAATGATTTTTTTTATGTTTTATTGAAACAAATTATTGTTTGATTACATAAAAATTCTATTTAAATAAATAAAGTTATTAAACACGACTGAATAAATTATTTTGTTATGAGATTAAATATTTTAATTTATATTTATTTCTTGATTTTTCTAGTTTAGTCTTTATTTATCATTAATGAATTTTTTTCATATATATTTACACATGAATAATTATCAATTTATTTAGTTAGATGCATGTATAATTTTTTCATTTTTAATTTTTTCATTATGAAATTTTGTATGACTAAAAACATATTGAAAAAACATGTATATTTATTTAAAAAAAAAGATTATTCATGATGGCTAATTAATTCTATATAAAAACGAATTTTAACAAGTAGCGAAACGGAACTGGGGAGGGCGTCCCAAGAAAGAAGAGGTGGTGTCCAGTAGAAACAGACAATCGCAAGGCATGCTTACCGAACCAGAGGGATTTGATTTATAGCTATGCGATGCCATTAACTGGTCCATTAAGGACAAAACCTTCATGCCAGGTTGGTTGTCATGACGTTTCCCCATTTGGCATTTTGCAATATATGTTTATGAGTGCCTTTGACTGAGTAATTAATCATGAATTCAAGTTGATAATTAATTAATTAGCAATCTAATAGAGACAAGAGTGATTTATAACTTGGATTATAGAACTGCTTCCCTCTTACCCCCTCATGCCAAAGCATCTGGCCCCTGGCTCTAACTTGCAGAATCCCAAAAGTATAACCAAAATGTGTTTTTTTTAAAGACACCGAGAGCTTTGATAAAGACATAGCTCAAGCCAAGATAGGTGACTCTGCCAGCTCAAGTCGATCCATGGTTTTATCGCATGTACTGTATTCGAATGTTAATCCCTAACGAGGGGACCAGCAGCGTCGCAGACAACACGAGATTAAAATAACGCAGGAGGCACCAAAAGACGGGGACGTGTGGACCCGATTGCACTCCACGTGGGATTTCTTTTTTTCTTTTATGGAGGGGTGGTGTTTGATAGTGCAGACACAGGAGATACGGCGGATGTTCGGGATGCTTTTGATGGCGGACCACGGTGTTGCAAGGAGGTGCACATGCCTAGATGACCAATTGCTACAAACTCAATGCAGGGAGTCTCTTTTATGTCTTTTTAATATACCAAGATTTCTTTAAATCTCTGGATACGCAGTTTTGTTTTACCAGTGAACTCTTCTTTCTTGGTGTTGAAGTGTAGATAGGTGTTAATATATTGATTTGGTGTAACTCAAGAACTTTTTCAAGTTTGTTTAATAGGCAGTATAATGAAACTATTTGTTAATAGGCGTGGATTAACGCCTAGCACTGCTTTATTTAGGTCCATCAACACCTTGAGTATACTTTCTGGAATTTAGAAGTATTGATTCACACGCACGTAAACATGAACACTTGGCCACATCAAAACCATTTTATAACTACCAGTAGTATCACCATATTCAACGTGGATTAACATGTTAAAAGACAGTGGAGTACAAGGACGTTAACACTGCATTTAATGGTAAACAACGACAACAACATGGGTGAATGAATGGCTTCAACTCGGGGATAAATTTTTTCAAGCTTGTGAAACTGATATGGGTGGTTTTTAACGGCAGATTGTGAATCTGATATAATTGGACTACGTGGATAAGATAAGATAAAATTAACAAAAAACCTGAAATATATAGAATGATTGGTCAAATGAAAAGATTTATAATTTATAATTTAATCGTTAAATGATGCTCAGATTTGATTAAAAAATTCTGAATGACGCTTAAATATGTCATAACCAATTGAGATTCAAAAAAGCTTCAAATTAGTTATATAGAAGATGCTATTGAGACTAGTTTTATTATTTTCTCTTTATTTTTAAATATCCTAATTATTTTAGGACTTTATTGGTTTTTCCCTTTCTAACCATGGCTTTTAGGTCAGTTTTAAAAAATTATCTAAGAAGTTATAATCTTTTTAAGAGGCAAGCTACTTAAAGAAAAATAATTGATAATATAATTTTAATTAGAATTTTTATATGGTAACCAATTCGATAAAATAATGATGATACTGTTGAGATAAAAGAAGATTTCTAATTCAGTTAGGAAATCTTTTCCTAGATCAAAAATGATTTTTATTTAGAATCTTTATATAACTAGTTAATTATAATTCTCATCAAACTAATATTTAGAATTCTTGCTAAAATAAGATAGTTTAAGCTTATGAACTTTCTATAAATATAAAAAGCCATGTATTTAGAAATTTTGTGTGTTGAATAACAATCAATAAAAAAAATAAGAATAAATACTTTGTGTACAGTACTTCCAAGAATTGGTATCAAAGCTCGAAAGAAAAAGGGAGAGCATAAACGAATCCACAAAAACACACACATGGCAACAAATCATACCTTTTCGTAGCAACAAGAAGAGCAGCCTTCTCCCAATGCAAAAGCTGAAATTCCAGCAACAATTCAACGTGAAAAGCAAGAACAAGCAAATTGGGCAGCCAGTAATTAAAGAGTTTTCTAAGGAGAGAATAAAGATTGATCAACGAGGGGCGGGCAAGGCAAAATAAATGCCAGAATCAATTCATTATTTACCCGCATGTAAAAATAGATTCTAATTTGCCTGGAGAAAACTTAGTTAGATAAATAAAATTGAGTGCAGTAAGTAATGAAAACTACAAGTAATGAAGTTTAGTGTGGTAAGTAATTCATATATTATCAAATTAAAAAATATATCCTTATCTGTATATCCCTCATGAATTATTTGATTTCTTATTATTTTTTAATTAAATTATGAAGTTAAACAATACAATAATATTTCTTTAGAAGTAAAGCAATTAAAAATTTAAAGTCAGCATGAATAAAAAAATAAGTATATTACATAGTTTTTTAAAAATTTATTAAGTTTTGATTTTAGTTTAAGGATAGAAATTTCTAAATTCAATATCAAAAAATAAAAATAAATTTAAAAAATGATATAAAGTCTAGGTTGAAATATTTGTATGGATTGATGATACACAAACAAGATTATGATAAAATAATCAAATAATTAATTATATACTAATCGAATAACTAAAATTGTATTATCACTGTAACGTGGGACATGCAACTAGTGTACTTGGTTTCAGGAGGGGTAACAGATTTTTTTCTTTGTTAGAGGGGAATCTAAATCTCACAAGTTTTTAGCACTAAAATTCAAAGCTTCGTTGGATTTATGGAGGGGAGTATTGTTAATTTTTATTTCAGGGGCAGGGCCCTGCTAGCCCCCCGCCACTGAATTTTCTATGATACAGTGATAAATTTATGCATACCTTTTAAAGGCTAGAAAAAAAAAATGATAGAATCACGAGTAGGTTTAATTGTGTTACTTTACTAAATCTGCTAATCATTATTGTTTTTTGAGTTATATATATATACATATATATATAATTGCATGTGTAGCAGGGTACTGAACTAATACCTTGTTCTTTTTTATTAATGGCAGTTCTCATTCATTGGAAAAAAAGAAGAGAGAGAGAGCTTATCCAAGTATTTTCGAATATTTCCTCAATGAGGCAAAAAACAAGATGAAACCTGTTTTACTTGTTATATATTATATATTTTCAACATTATGTGAAATTTTCTAACAACTGTGTGGATCTCCATGAGAGCGAACAGAAGCATGTATCGAAGGGAATGCCCCATCAGACACAAGAAAAAAAAAAAGATTAATAAGATGGTACTATATTCACGTAACCAAATAACAAAACGAGGAATGGGAATCCTGCATTACGTGATGTATTGTTAAAGAAAAAGGTTGTATAAGCGTGTATCGGGTTTTTCTTTTCTCCCCTTCTGCCTTGTGTGAGACAGTGCAGGGGCAAAGAGATTCAGTCAAATGCAGAATATTGAGTTAACCCTGGTCATGATCGTATGACCTGACATTGGGTTTCTAGCAGTAAAAATAAAGGAGAAATTAGATCAACGGATAGGTTAAAATATTGGGGTAGTGGGTGTGAAAATGTGGATGACACTCTGTTAAGCTCGGATCTCAAACGGCAAGAGAAGACTCTCTTTAGACCAAAGATGTGAATTGTTATGGGAACAGTGGGGGGCCTCTCTCGTGCCTCTCAGCTCTCATTTTCTAATGGAACAGAGTCTTCGAAATTAGCACAGAACTGACACGAGCCATATGAGGAGAAAGTGTCTCATTTTTTTAAGTTGACAGGATTTTTGAGAGTGAAAACTGCGAAAGTGGAAAAACACGAAGAA